GCTGTCTCGTCAGCCTGGGATGTGCGGTTGCTTGTGGACCCTGCTGGCCCCGTCAGGCGTCAATTGGCTTGCAGGGCGCTTTTGGCCCGGGTGCTGCGGGGTGGACGGGGCCGCTTGGCTGGATGCCGTTTGGTTGGCTTTAGCAGCCGCGGCAGAGGCGGCCGCGGTGGCGCGGGGTGCGGCGGGTTGCGTCGTAGCGATTTGCGTCGTCCGCGCTGCGGGTTGCGTTGTTGTCGCCGTGGCGCTGGACTTCGAGGTCGAGGCCTGGTTTGCGGGCTGAGCCGTAGCGGGCTTCGGCCACGCGCGCTGGGTGGGTGCTTTGGCAGCTTTGCCCTTGGGGCCCACCTGCACGAACCCGTCGTTGTTTGCAGTCTCGGCTCGGTCGGTGTTCAGGCGGGTCGTTTCATTTTCGTTGACTTCATGTCGGTTGCACTGGGTGCGGCGGGTCGGGCACGTCGCGTACTTGTGGTGCTGCTTGCAGTGGAAGCACTTGGTGGGCTGTCCTTTCACTTGGATTTGGACGTCACGGGGGAAGCCACTAGCAGACGTGACTTGAATGGAGTCAGGGACCTTGTCAATCACCTGCTTGACGTTCACGTCGCTGGTCAACGTAGCGTAGTAGATCCTTGTGCCCGTTTCGAAGGGACAGCCGTTTGGCGCTTTGCCAATGGAGCGATGGCACTTTTCGAACTTGAGTCCAGTTTTGGTGTTGAGCATATCCGCAATGGCTTCGTTGGAGTGGTGCATCGGGACGTTGTAGAGCATCAGCACGACTTCCCTCAGGCACGCATTGGGATAGATGGTGGTCATTCCAAACTGGATGCCCTGCTGGCACGCCTCGGTCGCTTGGTTCGGGTGCTTGAAGACGATGCTCAGCTCATGCGGGCCAAAGTTGATGCCGCAGCAGCCATCAGGGATGTGCTCCATCAGGAGCTTGGTGATCTCGTTGCCTCTGCCATCGATCTTGTTGGCGCGAAGCGAGGTCCAGCTGACCACGACAGTGTGCTTCGAGCCGTCACCCATCTGAGAGGCGTTCAGGCTGAGCTCTTCGTTCAGCTTAGCGTAGGCGGGGTCGTTGACGTCGATCATCTCGAGACCGGACTTGGCCGGCAGCGCGGCGCCCGTCTTGGCGAGCGGGTTGCCGCCACCCCATGCTCCCATGCCTGGAGCGGCCGTGGGGCCGCCTTGGGGGCACGCGTGGGGGATGCTCGTCTCGAGTGGACGAGGAGGCTTGTTGGTCGGACATGGCACTACGACGATTCGAAAGTGGGAAGGAAAGCAAGGAAGAAAGAAGCAAAGAGGGAAATGTAAAAAAGAGGACTCCGGAATTAAAATCAGGGGCGTAATGGTGGCCCAGTCAAAAAAAAAAATCGTGTTCGGAATTAGGGACGCCTCTCTACTCGATCAAACACCGTGCCACGCCAAAGAAGAAGGCTTGGTTGTCATCCTTGCACCGACCTCAATGATAAAGTGTGGTTTCCCCAAAAAATCGCTCATCAAAAAAACAGTACTGTATCGGCAAAAAAATAAAATCCTCAAAAAATCAATAAAAAAAACAGTACAGCATCCGATTCCCCCGACTCGCATCAAAAAAATGCAAAAATGAACAGTCAAAACAATTGACTTTTTCGAGGGTAAAGATTCGTTCCCGAAATCGTCGTTTTTCGAAAAAACCCCTAAGCATCGTCCAATATTTGTGAAAAAATGAATAAAAAATAGGTACAGCAGAGCGAGATGAAAACGACAAAAATCGATCCCGAAATCGTCCGTTTTTTGAAAAAACCCCAATGCATCGTCCAATATTCAGAGCGATTCAAAAGAGAAAAGGGGTACAGCAGAGCGAGAAGAAAAAGCAGGGGAAATGGTTATGGGATCAGTTTTTACAAATTGAAGAAATAAGAATAAAGTGCGATGCATGTACGAAAACGAGGTGGAGGAGGGACGGCGGGGTGAGGAGGCTGATCTGATTTGAAAAAACAAAAGCGTATAAGAAGAACGCTGATACTGCATCGATTTCTACCCCTGCACCCTCTTCTGGGGATTCCTACTATGCCTCCCACTTCCCAGAAAGAAATCACAAATATAATTTGCTATTTTCGAGAATCCTGTTGTGATCATTCTATTTTCAACAAAAAAAAATGGTCAAACCGGCTGAGACGAAGTCCAAGAAAACGGCTGAGACGAAGTCCAAGAAAGCTCCGAAAGTGGAGTCAGATGAAGAGGAAGATGAAGAGGAAGATGAAGGGGAAGAGGAGGAAGAGGATGAACCTGTCGCAGCCCCGAAGAAAACAACACCAAAGAAAACAACACCAAAAAAAGCGGCAAAAAAAGGCAAGGCGGCAACTGCAGGCTCCGACACCGACGACCAGCTGTACCAAGACGCAGAGGACTACGAGATGCCCATGCCGATGCCCATGCACACGCCTCGTCGTGGCTCTGCTGCGTCTAGCTCCCGTGCAGCTCCACCCCTCACTCGCGCGCCTCCGTCCATCATGTCGGACGTCGAAGACGGAGTCATGAAACTCAGCCTTGTAGATCTGATCAACGCTGTCAACGGCGCACCGCGTGTCCATGGCAACCCGAACGCTCTCACCATCGATACACTCAGCCGCATCTTCCAAGAGCTCAAGGTTGCCGACGACGCATCAGTCATTCGCATCAACATGAATGGTGCAAATGGTTGCTGCGCATGGGTTGAAGGGCGCTTTTGCAAGAACTCGAGCGCCACGGCAAAGGGCAACTCTGTTTACTGCAATGTTCACTACGGCGCTTTCCTCAAGCAGGCCATGAAACAGAAAGTTCTCGTCGACGCTGAGCTTCCTCGCGCCAATTTTTTTGACCATGACGCCAACAAGGAGATTCATCTGGCGTGCTGGCCGCAGGGTCGTGCTGTCTGATCTTTGTTTGATCTTTTGTGGGTTTTTTCCGCACTTGCGTTTTCCCAGTAAACAACATTCCGACACCTCTCAATTGTCCAGAAAAAGTGACACATCAACAAAATAAAATCAAAATAAAATCAAAAAAAGATCGTGCTTCAGTCAAAAATGTCTGAAGAACTCAAGCCGAGCGTCCGCATATGCGGCAGTGAAGGCTGTACCAGCACTGATATTGTTTCCATTGGCTTTTGTGTTAAACACCATCGGGATGTGCATCAAGCTTGTCGTAGTCTCGATGGTGACGTCGCTAACATCCTCGCCATGGCTCAAGCAGCCATCGAAATGCTCGACATTGAGCACACGGAGTCTGGCTTTACGGAAACAGGCGAGTTCAAGGCCTACGTGGAGCCGACCAATCGCGAGATCATGGCTTACGCGGCGTTCGAGCGCGTCGCAAAAATCGCCATGAACGCCTTGCACAAGTGCTAGACGCCGCGTTCGCCCAACGAATTGTGCCGGTTTTCTTCAAACAAGTGTTGTTCAATAAACAAATTTTCTTGTTGCCATAACACTTCCGGTGCGCGTGCAGAAACAAAAAAACAAACAAAATCTGATTGGTCAAAAATTGCTCCTCAAAAAAAAGGACAGGTCTGTCCTTTTTTTCATCAGAAAAACGGCACTCTTCTTCGTTTTTTTAATGAGCTCGAGCTCGTCCTCATCCTCGTCCTCTTCACGCACTACACAGCCCAGCACATTGCACGAGCAGGAACAAGCGCTCAAGATCGAACTCATCAAAGTGCGCTTGCAGCTGGCCAAGCTTGAATCGAAGACGCGCAGTGGCCGACAACTTTCGAAAAGCGAAATCAAAACCAACCGCCAGCTTCAGGCGAGATTCGAGTATCTTGACTGCTTCATTGATCAACTGCGCTTCCAGCAAGGCACAGCACAAGAAGAGGAAGCAGCAAGTGTGCGTGTAGCGCTCGCCGAAGCAGCTGCTGTTCGCCAAGTCGAGGAAGCACTCGACCGCATCTCTCTCAGCGACGAAGCCATGGCCGCGAAGCTCGAGTCTGCTGCCAGCATTTTTGAGCGCCTGAAAAAACTCGCGTCTCTCAAAATGGTACAAGGTGCATCACTTCTCGCTGAACAACCCATGCCGTTCCTCCACATGCTCAAGGAGCTCTGCGATCAAGCTGAGGACAAGAAGACTGAGAAGCGTCGCGCAGTCGATGAGCCCAAGAAAAAAATCAAGAAAAAGTCGCGTGTGGAGGGAGGCGAGACATTCGCTGCTTTCCTGTCGTCGTGCAAGTACCATACAGCCGCGCTTTCGTCTGGCACGTTCGCACTTCTGGTCGACTCACCGGACAACGCTCGTGATGAGGACAGCATTGTTGCTGACATCGACTTGTCTCTCGCCACAACCGACAACCTGACTCGCCTCAACATGCACAACCATTACGTGCTTGGACGGCGTGTGAACAAGCTGTTCAACCTTTGGAGGAAGACGGGCAAAAACATCATCACGACCTATGCGGCACACCAGCTCAGCCAACGTTTGTCTTACAGGCACGCGTGTCGTTACGTTTCCCTCTACAAGTTCCTGTCACAATACCCACGCTTCAAGTACGTGTCCAAAGCGTGGACTACACTCGTCGACTTCATCCCCGACATCAAGAGCCATTTCGAGGACGTGCCTGAGGATCGCGCCTACTTCTCCACTCTGGGCATTGACGCTCCTCTGCAATGCCAGTACTCACTCAGCACCGCCGCTGGTGTTGTCACAAGTGGCGCAGTGACTGATGACATTCTCAGCGTGACCGAGGCGGAGCAGGGCGAGTTTGAGCGCACCATCATCGTTCCGACCGACGATGATGCGCCGCTCCCTGCTGACGATGATGGTGATGATGATGGTGATGATGAAGAGGCTGATGCTATGGAAATGGGGTTCTGATTTACTTGATTTTGTGCGCATTTTTTCACGTTTTTTTGCGCCAATATAGGTTTTATCTTTCAGGAATCCATTCATTGAATTTCTTTGGATAACCGATGTATTTCACCAACATTTCCTTCTTCCCTGCTTTTGTGCGCTTCTCCAACACAGTTTCAATCAACCGTGGTGCATCCAGTTCGCTTTCTTTGACGCTCTGCAACTCAGCTTCATAATACACACCACTCACGTCCTCTCCTTTCAAATCTTCTAGCAGGTATGTATGAGGTGAACTGTTCCGTACTTGACGAACTCTCATGATCTCAACGTTCCAATTGCCAACAAGAGAAGCTTTCGTGAATGTGCCTTTGTATTTTGCCGTCCTGACAAAATCCCCTACACGATATCTTGCTGGTTTCACCTCAGGCAGATCACGGAAGAGGTATTAATCAATTCACCATAGTTCTGAGGCTTTCGCGCTTGAGCAGGAGTCATGCCGATC